AAACTTTTACCAATAAAGCTTCATGTTGCACTTAACCGTTCACCACAGCGTGATAAAAGTGTTTTACTGATTTTAAATATATTCCTAAAAAATTGTAGCTGTAAAAAGTTTCTTTGTACCTCGAGATTACATTTGAAAAAATCCACAGTTGCCGAATTCCGGAGAATCTATATCCAAAGTAAAATACATATTGATCTGTTAAATCGTGATTACGCAAAAAATTTATAAATTATACATAACAACCTTGCAACAGCGCTGAAAACAGAACATTTAAAAACTTGTATAATAAAATCATCAATTTTCACATTTATTGTGATTTTTGTTGTCATGGATATCTTAACTAATGAATACTGGGCAGTAACTGAATCTACCCATGTGATGTGACCACTGCCGTACAACCAGTACAGATCAAGATTAGCCGGCACATCTTCGCCGTCTGATCATGGTCTGCACTGTTTGCTATTCAGTCAACACTTATTTTGAAATTTTCCCTGAAAATGGTGAATGGTTTTGTCCATATTGGAAGATAGGATGCCTTGCAGAATAAAGGTAATGTGGTTATCTTATTGTTCATTTTCCTATTAGTGGGAGAAGAATTTTCCATCCACACAAAAGAAACATAAAAATAATTTTATTGTTACCTATTGTTCCCATAGCAACTTAAGAATCCATTAGTTAGGTATGCACATAGAACATACTGACATATAAAACTTTGTTTTTAATGAAAAAAAAATTCACTAATTATGCAGTATCAACTTAATGTCATAAAACTGGCTCTTAAAGCGCAAAGCAAAAGCAATCTAAGCGTATGAAATAAGAATGAAATTATTACCTAAACACGCCTCCTTATTTTCGTTATCCTCAAGACTTCGGCTTCTCTTCTCATCGTAACTTTTTGTGCTCTCAAAACCTGCGACATACAATATATACATGTGAGATAAGGCTTATCTTATGTAGTGATATTTATGTTTTTTCTTCATCACATATTTATTCAATTTATTTCACCAAAAGATTCACTTGTGTAAGAGCATTGTATAAGGGATTTTAAGAAATCAAAATTGTCATGGTGGTGATGGTGTAGATTTTTATTTAATTTTGATTGCAAAACAAGTTCATGCAACTTATATTAATCACTGTCAAGTCCACTTCCTAAAACAATGGTGTCACATGAAGAAACAGGGTTGTGACCCAATTAGGACTTGAGCCCATGATCCACAGGGTGATTGGTGTTGTTAGTTTACCCTCCACTATGATCACAGCAGTAAGCAACCAGAGCATGCTCACCGTTTTAGCCACTGCATCATTCCTGGGCAGGCTGTAAAGTAGTTTACCAGTACTAGTTGCCTTCAGTTCCCACTGATAACTTCTGTACATACCTAAGCAGAAGTACAGTGTAAATGACCATAGAAAGTGAACTATTATCTGAATGTTCGATGATCAGTTATCACCATAACACCATTGAGTATACAAATCATTCTATCAAACTCCTATCAAAGAGACAAGTATACACTGAGTTAAACCCACATAACTAGAGAGCATATCATATTACACAACAGAAAGGATTTCATTACTAAACAAATTTTGTATTTGTATTTAGACAATCTATGTACAAGTACATGAAATGTGTGACTGACTACACAAGATTAATTATTTAATATTTAATCATAAACTTACTACCAGTTCTTTCTCTTGGCTTACTAGTCACGGGAGCATTAATCTGGATAGGATCAGACACAGAATTTCCACTCCTAGTTCGTGCCGGATGGTTCGCAATTACATCCTCCGACGGCTCGCTCTTCGCCGACTTCAGGGTGCTGCTTGACGATCCCGCCACCTATTATACAAACAATATTATACAGAATGATTTTAAAATCAAAAGTATTTAATTAACATCTAAATTTATTAAACATACCTAGAGTAATTTCTTAAACATGTTTGTCACCCCGCAACCTCCCCCGTAATGGCCACCAAGAAGTCATGTAACATGGACTATAGTTAACTTTGTTATGACCTACAGGTCATGCCTATTTTTTTAACCAACTGTTAGGACTGTGGAATAACATGATCATCAGACCACTTTACAAAACAATCCCTTTTAAGTTACTTCTTAAATATTGTACATAAAGAGAATAAAATGTTCTAGAATTAAAATTTTATGCTGCTATTTTAATTTGGGTTTTAACACTTGAGCAATGCATACATAATTTGTATTTCTTCCATACAAGTATTTATATTTTATTTCTTCAGATATGAAGCTTTATACACTTGAAGCATATTATAATTTCATTTATATGAACATTGCATATGTTGTTTGAAACTTTCATATAAATATAAAATTAAAAATAACTATAGAACCTTTTCTGATTTTGACGCTGTATCATCCCAATCCCATTCTGGTATGTCAGGGTCAGGTGACTTAGGCTGTGGTACTTCTTTCCCTGACTGTAATATATATATATATATATTCCATATACAATATGAGTAATAAAATGAAATAAAATAAAAATTTGTTTTCCAAGGAAATAAGTTCATTTAAAATAAATAACATTTTCTATTTCCTTTATTAAGCCATTTAAGTATACAATACTTGGTTTAAACATATTAATTTAAGCTCGATTACATTACTTATTAACCCTTTCCCACATGAGCATATTGTGAAAAATGGCCTTTTTCAGTGAAAAGCCTCCTGTAACAAGTTCAAACTGCTATGAAACTATGAAAAATGCTTCAATGCTAATCAAACTTGGCACAAATGTTGACTGGACCATTGCCTTTGTAAGGACATGCTCAGTCTTAAATTTCCTGTTACCATGGCAACGAGGGGACATCTCAAAATTGCCAAAAATCACTATTTTGCCTCGATTTTTTCCATCAAAATTTATTTCAAAGTGCTGCAACTTCTCAAGGGATTGAGATGGAGGCAAAGGCTTTTCAGCGTTGGTTACACGTTACCTTATGATCAACCTGTGGTCATTTTCAGCCTCTCACAAGTCCAAAATTTTCTTGGCGATGAGGGGGACTCCACCCACCTTCAAACCCCCCCAAACAGAAGGGGGCACATCCCCCTTCTGGCATTAACCCCCTGATGTATCTTTTGGATGGGGGGCGGTGCCAAAAAATTGCTCACTTTTTTTAGCAACATTTCTCAAACAAAAACATGTGTTTGGGGCCCAAATAGGACATTTTTTCACTATTTCAGGCCTAAAAGGGGGTGGGGGGTCGAAAGTTCGTTGTTTCGTGTATATATGAGGTAAAGGGTCATTCGCAATCAGATAATAATCTCTAAAAGGCACATTATGCCTAAGAAATCCATATTTATAAAATTCTTTAGAAAAGGTAAACATTTTCAATAATGTTTTAATAACAAATTTAGAGTATGTTACATGTTTAACAGTGGAAGAAAGTGGCACTGAATGTGTGGTTATGTCCTAAAAGTAGCAAAATGTTAGTTGTATCATGACTTTCATACAAAATACTTATTAACTAGAATTGTAGCAATTGCCAACAGAACTAAAGATGCAAAAGACAGTTTGGGTTTCTAGCAAAGAAGTATGTTTTTAGAAACTGTAACAAGATACTAAAAATAAAAAGATTTTGAGAAATTAAAATGATAGCATTTCTGAGGCATAATGGGCCTTTAATTTTTAAACACAGTCTCAAATACTGGTGAAAACTAGAAATGTGTCATCATGCCACGGATGCCCCCGCATGCAGCCAAAATTTCAGATGTTATAATATTTAGTTGCATAAATTATTTTTTCATTTTAAGTTCAAAGCCCTTAAAACTTTTCAATGTTTACACAAACCATTTTCATACAATGTTCAAGGCACTGAAATTATTCAGTCTTAACCTTTTAAAAATAGCATATTTCATATTTGTAGCCAAAATAATGGCTAAAAGTATGAGTGCTGAAACTGAAAGTTCAAAATTTTTCCAACATTCAGGAAAGATAAGTTTGTCCAAAATCGTTGAACCACGACCAAATTCAAACTTAAACTGCTTATTCCTTAGATGTATCTATATTATTTTCAAAGTGAAAGGGACATAACTCTACCAAAAAATCATCAAACCATGACCAAATTCCAACTAGACTTGCCCATTCCTTTGACATATCCATATGTCAAATTTGAGTTGAATATGTAACAACGTTGGGTAGATAATGAACAGAAACTGTAAATTCTGCCAAAAATCATTGAACCATGACCAAATTCGAACTTGGCCTGGGCATTCCAAAAACATATCCATATGTCAAGATTGACCAACCGTTCTTAAGATAATGAACGGAAACTGATGATGACGGAATGACAGAATGACGGAATGACGGAACAGGGTAAATGACAGCTTCTCAGATAATGAATTCCAGTTTAAAGGATATCAAATGTTTCGAATGGACAGGAAAACAAATGGGGGTGGACTTATATTATATGTTAATGAAAATTTTTCTTGTTTTCCGCGGAGTGATTTACAAAAAGAGAACATTGAAGCCATCTGGCTTGAAATCAAGAACAATCAACAAAAAACGTTTATATTAGGATATATTTACAGACCCCCATCATCACCTGCAAACTGGAACTTGGATTTAGAACAAATATTAGATAAGATATATATTGAAAACAAGGAATTATTTTAACTGGAGATTTCAACTATAATTATGATCCACTAACACTATCTACTAACAACACTTGTTGGAATAATATTACTAACAGTTTCAACTTAAAGCAGGTTGTTGAAGAACCCACCAGAGTAACTAAAACATCAAAGACCATAATAGATCACCTATATACAAATTTCCCTCATAATATTTCTGAAATTACTATCCCTCAGTTGTCAATAAGTGATCATTTTCCAATTTGTTTCACACGCAAAATTTCAAATACAATTATAAAAAAGTCTTTACATCAGATAATACAGTACTGTAATGTTAAAAAAGTTGATGAAAAAGAATTTCTTGAATCTCTGGAACAACAGCCTTGGTCATTGATAGAAATATTTGAAGATCCAAATGATGCCTTGGATTGTTTCAACTCTTTATTTAGTCAGGTATTAAATGAACATGCCCCTCTAAAACGAAAACGTGTAAAACACACACATCTTCCAGACTGGTACAATCCTGATATTCTTCATGCCTCTAAACAAAGAGATAAAGCTAAAAAAATAAATAATAATGAAGATTATAAGTATTGGAGAAACAAAGTTAAAAACCTGATTTCTAGTTCTAAGAAAAGTTACTACTCAGAAACAATAAATAACAATAAACAATGCTAAAGAAATGTGGAAAAATCTCAAACAATTATCAGGGAAATCTTCTAATCACCAGACAAGTTATATTCAAGATGAAGATGGAAATAAAATTACAGACCCACTAAAAACAGCTGAAGTTTTCAATAACTATTTCATTGATATTTTTAAATCTGCTCCAGCAAATTGTTCAAATTTATTACAAGAAGATGAAATAAAACTGCATGAGTTTATTGAAATGCATTCAAAGACTGATTCTCCATTTACAATACCAGAAATTACTGAACAATTCATAATCAAAGAACTTCAATCTCTTGATTTCAAAAAATCAACTGGTCTAGATGGTATAGGACCTAAATTTCTTAAAATGAGTTCTAAAATTATTTCCAAACCCTTAGAAAAGATATTTAATCTCAGTATATCAAATGGCATATTTCCTTCAATATTTAAAAAAGCAAAAGTTACACCTATACATAAGAAGGGCAACAAGAATGAAGTAAGCAATTACAGACCAATTTCAATACTACCAGTCCTGTCAAAAATTCTAGAAAGACATGTTAGTGATCACCTAAAATCATTTCTTGAAGCTAACTCTCTTTTTCAACCAAATCAATCTGGCTTTCGCACAAATTATTCTTGTGAAACGGCTCTAACTTCAATTGTTGAACAACTGGCTTAAAGCAATAAATGAAGAGAAACTTATAGGGACAATATTTCTTGACCTTACAAAAGCATTTGACTTAATCAATCATGAATTGTTATTAAAAAAACTAAAATTGTATAAAATAGATAAAATTCAATTTCTTGGTTCAGATCATATTTAAGTAATCGTTCACAACAAGTATGTGTGTCAGGAAAATACTCTAATGCTCAAGATGTTACATCTGGTGTACCTCAAGGCTCAGTTTTAGGCCCTCTTCTTTTCATTATTTACATAAATGACATGCCTTTGCACTTATCACATTCCATTTTAAATATGTTTGCTGATGACACTTCCATTACAGTATTTGGACAAGCTATCAATTCAATCTGTATAAATCTTCAGTCTGACATTGACTCTATTCAACAATGGTGTACCAGAAATTCAATGATTCCAAATGCCAAAAAAACCAAAGCAATGATTATTTCCCCTTCACATAATATCTACAATATCATTAATAATTCTAGTGATTTCAACATCACTCTGCAAGATGAAAGCATTCAATTCTCAGAAACAGAAAAACTTTTAGGAGTCCATGTTGATCATACACTTAATTGGAAAACACATGTCAAGATGACGCTGAATAAATGCAATTCCTTACTATATCTACTTCTGAGAATTAAACCATTTCTAAATCTTCAAGTTAGGAAAATGTTCTTTAATGCATACATTCTTCCTCATTTAGACTATTGTTGCACTATTTGGGGTAATTGCAGTAAGGAACTCTTAAACGACATGTATAAATTTCAAAAACGTGCAGCAAGAATAATACTTGATAAAGATTTTGATGCGCCTACTGATGAGTTATTTTCTGAATTGAACTGGATGAAATTCTCTGATAGAGTGAATTATAAAAAGGCCATTTTAGTATACAAGTCCCTAAACAATCTTCTCCCTGATTATATGCAAAATCTTTTTACAAATACAGAAAATAAATCATTAAGATCATATGAACAAAAACTTCTTTTAGTCCCCAAACCAACAATTGAATTCTGCAGAAAATCCCTATCATATTCAGGCTCAAAATTTTGGAACTCCCTCCCTTTAAACATAAGAAATTCTTCCAACTTACAAACATTCAAAATAAATTATCTTAAATGGTGGTTCTCTGGTGGGCACCAAATAATCTAGCTATGTTTTAATATCACATAATATACATGTATGTCTCATAAAATGTACAATTTCATACTTTCAAATGTTTGTATTCATTTTCTTATTGCATTTTTCAATTACTCAACTTTTCTTTGTTGTATAACTTGTATACATTTAGTTTTCTTTCTTTGTTTATATAAGTCTTTGTTTGTAACTGTATATATGTACATTTTTGATAGAGGCTCATAGGGAAGACTGGGCTTGCCTAACTATGTTGCCTCTTTAAATAAAGTCTTTATTATTATTATTATTATAACACTATATGCCCCGGCCATGTAATGGCGGGGGCATAAACCCCCCCCCCCCCCACAGATATGTCAATTTCTGTCTTAAAACATATGTTGTTTTCTCTCTTTTGACTGAATATATCTCACCAGTTACTCTATTTGCTAATGTATAGGCAAGCTTACCTCATTTAAAAGATCTGAAGTACTTGTGATGGTCTTTGAATGTTCATCATCAGATACCTTCTCTGCAAATTCATCATCAAACAGCACTTCATCATGACTAGAAGCATCAATGTCCTTCTTTTCTTTCCTCTCTTTCTTGACAGGTGGTTTCTCTAACACCAGCAAGTCTTTATCTTCTACCTCTTGTATTGCAGCTGAAACATCAAATTTCTTTTTAGCCTTTACGCCAGTGTCAGACTTTCCACTATCTACTTTAACTGTGTCATCTTTAACCTTTTCATCAGTAGTTGATTTATCTATCTTGTTACCAACTTTATCTATGTCTTCAATATTACACTGGGAGCCAACACTTTCAAACTGGTCTCCATCACTTTCTTTCCTACCTTTCTTCATCACTAAGTCTTCAACTGGTGATTCTTGTACCTCCCTCACAGCATCATGTTCTATTTCCTTTATATCTTTAGCTATTACAGCTGGAACATCATTTGCTGAACCGAATTCCACATCTTTACTATTGACTTGCAAGGTTATCTTTGGCACATTCAATACTGTGTCTTCTTTCTTCTTCTCTGATTCAGGACCTGCTTCAGATGGCTTACTTCCCACACCATCTTGATCAGTCTCCATAGCTTTTTCTTCACCAGGTTTTTCTATCTCCATGTTGTCTAGGACAATGGATTCTTCTGTATAACTCTCTTCAGTTATTGTTTCCTGTATCAATTCAGCTTTACCTGGCTCATCTCCATCCTTCATTTTTCCACTTTCATGGGCCTTTTTACCCTTGGAAAAAAAGAGAAAAAAACCAAAATTAAGATACATTTATTAAACCAGTTGCTAAGTTCTGTTGTTGAATTTTAAGTCATACAGTAAAGGTCAGATAACAAACATTCCTAGTAGACGAAATCTCATAAAACCTTAGGTGCCCCAGTACCTATTTACCATAAATACATGACCTTACTATGTTGTTTAGAATAAGTCTATTCTTAACCTCAATGACCTGATTGACCTGAACAATGGTATATGTCCATTGGTGGTACTATCAAACCAAATATTATCAAAGTTATCAGTCCATAAGTGATTGTGCCATTAGAAATTATAGTTAAAGTTTAATTGAAGTTAAATTATAGTTTAAGTGTGGCAAAGAACAAACTAACATATTTATTGAAAAACAAAATCATGGACCATAAAGTAATGTTTATAAATCTAATAAAGTGTAGATAAAAGATGATATCTTATGGAAGATAAAAAAGATCTCAAAACAAAGAAAGACGTAATTAACAATCACACACTAAAACATAAACAAACACACACAAAAACGTACACACACACAAATAAATTCTCACAAACAAAACACCCACATAGAGGTCTTGAACACCTAACTGTGAACTTCATAACTGTTAATACAAAACTATTGCTTAAAACAAGTTAATATTCTAAATGTGTCACATATGGTTAGCGACTAAATTCCTGCATAAGTTGTTTAAAAAAAACAACACACACTTTAAACTATGATAAATCAAACAGGAAAACAATGCAACAACAGTCTTAAGACGTTACTCTGTTAAATGAGCTGCTCCATTTCGAAACCAACATTTTGCGTTTGCGACCAGTATGGATCCAGACCAGCCTGCACATCGGCGCAATCCGGTCGGGTCATGAACCATGCTGTTCGCTATCAGTTTCTCTACTTGTAATAGGGTTTGTAAGCGAACAGCATGGATCCTGATCAGACTGCGCGGATGCGCAGGCTGGTCTGGATCCATGCTGGTCGCAAATGCCTTATGTTGGCTTTGTCATGGCGCAGCTTTAATAATGTTAACTATATATACCGCACACACCTGTCTCACCAAGAATGAAGTCCTATAACCAGAGCCGGCTGGGTTCACAACATTCTTGTCACTGCTTGTATACGCCCCCGGACTAAAGTGTAATTCTACGTGAAACTTTTCGGGTGATCCAACATCCTGTAACAATTTTGTATATATAAAATTTTATACAAATTTGAAAATAAAAGATTATAGAATGAAATTTTAATAAGTAATCTCTTTCAGAGCTATCCACAGTTGAACAATAATCTTTTTACAACAATACTTTAAATTCATACTTAAGTAAGACTTTGTAATACATCTAATTTCTATAAAGGAACCATCTCTAAGCACAAAACAAAATTTCTACAATTCAAAATTCTATTTATGAAAAAAATATGGTTATATATTAAATTTGTACATGACCTTATCAATATAAAATATCAATTTAACATCAACAATTTAAAGCCAATCAAATCAAAATGGACAAAATGGCAAAAACTTGAGAAATAAATTAACAGGCATTTCTGGCTTAGAACATCAGACAGTTCAAATGATAAATGATATCATCTTTGCAAAAAACAAACATGTATGTTCAATGCCAATTACTCAGGAAAAATGCTATTTTAATTATCTCAGCTAAACTGATAACTAAAGTCAATGACCTTATCCCTTAAGTGTGAAATCAAAAGTAACTACCCTTTGTCATCAGTATAGAGCCAGGTCAGCCTGTTCAGGCTCTATACAGTTGACAGCTCAAATTTCATTATTTTGATAATTCAATCCTTTAGTCCAGAAATGGACAGTTCCAAATTCAAAGCAGGGCAAATCCATTACAAAAACAAGATTGCATTTGAGAAAAATGCTATGCCACCGCATTAATACAACACTAAATAGTAGTGTTTAAGGAACAGATTTTTTTGGTTTCTATACAATTTTGAAGATTGTCATAATGCATAGATGCCTGACCTATCTGATTCCTATTATCAGATTTAATTCAAAACAATCTTGATACAGGTCCACCAAACAATTATAATTTGAACAATCTTGGTAAAGGTTCCATATAAGGAAAACCTATAGCCCCAAGGGCCGGGCTAATTTTGACACTAGAGGCAAAATTTGAACAACTTTCGTGGAGTACCTATAGATGAAATCATTTAACAAATATTAAAGCTCTAAGCCTTGTACCTTCAGACAATAAGAGTTTTGATTTTTTACTATATGTATATATTGAAAATCAATGACCCCCGAGGTGGGGGCAAATTTTTAATTTATGTAAATGATATGTCAGCTGTGGTCAAAAATAAATTGCTTTTGTATGCTCATGATTCTGGTATCCTTGTATCTGGTAAAAGTTTATATGTTGTTGAAAAGGCATTGACAGATGATATGGAATTGGTCAGCCAATGGTTAGTGGACAATAAGTTGTCATTGCATTTGGGTAAAACCGAGTCAATTTTATTTGGGTCCAGGCAAAACCTTAGGTCACAATCTAACCTGCATATAACCTGTGATGGTACATCCATTGAATCAACTTCATCTATCAAGTATCTTGGGATTACTATAGACCAAAATCTGTCATTTTGCACCACGGCCGAGTCTGTTCTTAAGAAGGCCAACTCTCGGTTAAAATTTCTTTACCGCAAGAAAGAGTTTCTTACTCAGCATACCAAGAAACTTCTGGTTATGTCTCTTATTCAGTGTCACTATGATTACGCATGCTCTGTTTGGTATAATAGCTTGACACAGTCTTTAAAAAATAAGTTACAAACTTGTCAAAACAAAATAATGAGATTTGTACTTGACTTGGACTCTAGAGCCCACATTGATCCATCCCACTTTAAGTCCCTTAACTGGTTACCGGTCCACAAAAGAGTTGAACAGATAATGTTGTGTCATGTTTTTAAGATAAAAAATGGCCTATCTCCGGATTACATGTCTGAACACTTTATTTCACAAGATTCCATTCATAATTATAGTACAAGACTTAGTCAAAAGGGCGGATATTGTCTACCTTAGGTCAAAGGCCAGGGTTCTAAATCCTTTGCTTTCTCTGGTAATAAATTATGGAATGATTTACCTGTAAAGTTAACGGAGATCAACAGGTTACAAAGTTTTAAGGTTGCCATCAAAAGTCATCTTATGAACAGTATTTAATTTTTTTTAAACATGTTTTTACATATTTCGGCTCAGGATTTTAAATTGTCTGCTATTTATCTTATTACAATTTAAGTAATGTGTTTTAAATCCTAGCTGTAAACAGGAGTATCATTAACTCAAGATTTGACTGTGATATACATTTTTATGATTTATAAGTATTTTTAAACATGATTATATTTAGGTTTGCCTCCCTATGTCATGCCGCCAATACAAAGGACCACAATGGAAATAAGAGCTTTTTTGCCCTTTTTTGTGTTATCCTAAGTTTTGGTGAGCATGTCATAGTTTTACTCGTATGTGATATAGTATTTAATAATGCTCATTATTTTATCCTATGTTATATTGTCAACTATGTATATGCTTCCTTTGCCGAAATAAATCTATCTATCTATCTAAGAGCTATAATTTGAACAGTCTTGCTAGAAGTTCACTTCACAATGTTTCATGCAAAATATCTAACCTCTAGCATTTGTCAGTTGCTAGAAGAATTTTTTAAAAGTTTTTACTATAAGTTTTTACTATATACATATAAGGAAAACCAATGACCCCCGGGGCGGGGCCGATTTTGACCCCAGGGCTATAATTTTAACAATCTGGGTAGAAGTCTACCTGACAATGCCTTATGCAAAATATCTAAGCTCTAGGCCTTTTGGGTCCTTACAAGAAGGTATTTTAAGTTTTTACTATATGTACATATAGAGAAAATCAATGACCCCCAGGGTGGGGCTGATTTTGGCCCCAGGGCTATAATTTGAACAATCTTGGTAAGGGTCTACCAGACAATGCCTTATGCATAATATCTAAGCTCTAGGCCTTTTGGGTCTTTACAAGAAGGTATTTTAAGTTTTTAGTATATGTACATATAGTGAAAATCAATGACCCTAGGGGCGGGGCCGATTTTGACCCCAAGGCTATAATTTGAAAAATCTTGGTAGAGGTCTACCAGACAATGCCTTATGCAAAATATCTAAGCTCTAGGCCTTTTGGGTCTTTACAAGAAGATTTTTTAAATTTATTCTTAAAATACCTTTTGGTTGCCATGGCAACCAGATTTCTGCATGGAATGAAATTCTTTGAACAACTTTGGAAGCCCTTCACCCAAGGATCAATCCTGCCAAGTTTGGTTGAAATTGGACTTGTGGTTTTTCACAAGAAGATTTTTTAAGTTCACTATATAATCTATATAACACACACACGCACAAACAAACACACAGGTGAATCGCCATAGGCCACAGCATCGCAGATGCTGCGGTGGCATAATTAAGCAGGCTTAGGAGTTCCAATCTTCTATGGAAGGAGGATTATTCTTACAAAAGATGGGAAGAGACCGAAGTGTATTTAGATATTCAAATTGTTAAATCTTACCTTAGATGGGTCCTCAAACATCATAATATTAATCTGTGTCATGTAGTTTAGTTCTGGTGTGGTGCTTAAAAAATCCATGGCTTTCTTCCATTGCTCATCTTTAACTTCCTAAAAAATGACAAAAATACATAATCTTTTTATTAATAAACGTTTACTGAATCAATGTTTCATGTTCTTATTGTATGATTATGGTATGAATGTTTCATATTTTTATTGTGCAATAAAAACATTTATTTATACTTGCTCTAGTTTGCCATAGAGCACTAGGCTACCACTCATTAGTTTTTGTGTAAAGTTTCAAGCAATATTATAATAATATATAATAAATAACTTACATCACATAAACCGCCAAAACGTAACATATTTAGTAGACTGTGTATATGACTTTCACTAGTAAAATACAGTCTGGTTCTCACAAATCTCTCTGGTGATGATACACCTTTAGAATACCTGAAATACATAATAACAATTTTTATTATCATTTTATTGTTGGGGGCATTTGTAGCCAAGTGATTTAAGTGATTAAATTATTAAGTTGGTTATTTAGCTTCCAAGCTTTTTGATGGTGTTTAAAGAAATTCAGGCATTGTAAAGGTCAGACAGGGACATTTAAGCCTAAATGAGAGAGGAAGCCCTTGGTAGTCCCGCTTTCAATCCAACTATTGTAAGGGTTAAGTTATTTAACCCTAAGTGATGGCAACTGCTCCTGCCCATGTGACCAGTGCAGACCAAGATCATGTTTTGCACTGTTTGCTATTCAGTCTGTATTGATTTTGAATTTTTTCCTGAAAATGATTAAAAATTTGTCTAGACTGAAAGGTAGACAAGTCCAAAACCCCATCCACTTTAAGTTAACCACTTGGGTGTGGAGACCATAAGAATAACAAAACTTTCATCTTTTGTTCACTAAACTTATAAACAAAACAGGAAAAAAAGCAAACACAACAATATGAGAATTTTAAACTTTAGACATGCAATAATTCTCATTATTTTTAGCTTCTGTGAAATATATATAATGTTTACTTTGAGTTAAGTCTTGTACTTTCCTCATCCATTGCTAAGCAACCAACATGTAAATCACTGTGTATTTTTACG